AGGGATATGATATCTCAGTGTGAACCTTGTATAACTTTTGCAAATAACTATAGGAAGGAACCTTTAGTTCCACATGATGTACCTAAACTTCCATGGTATAAAGTAGGTTTGGACATATTTCAGTTGAATGGTAAAAACTATTTACTAGCAGTTGACTATTATTCTAAGTATCCAGAACTAGCCTACTTGTCCAACATAACAACATCAAACATTGTAAACCATTTGAAGCAAATCTTTAGCAGGCAAGGCATTCCAAAAGAAATATTTGCTGATTCTGGTAGCCAATTTACTTCAGAGGAATTTAAAGACTTTTCTAAAGAATGGGGTTTTGTAGTTAGTTTGTCCAGCCCTTATCATCATCAATCTAATGGTATGGTTGAAAGGGCTATACAAACTATAAAAAGGACTTTAAAGAAAACAATGGTTGAAAAAACTGATCCTTATCTAGTAATGCTTGAGTATAGAAACACTCCTCTTGGTAATGGACTGCCTTCACCTGCAGAGATCTTGTATAACCGCAGACTGCGAGGTATTCTACCTTATCAGAATGTGCATCTTAAACCTAAAATCCCTAGCAATGTGTGTAAGAATCTTAAACAGAGGCAAAATATACAGAAGTTCTATTATGATAAAAAAGCCAGACCTCTGAGAAAGTTGTATAAGGGTGAAAGTGTTATGGTAAAAGTTGGTAGTAATTGGGTAAAAGCAAAAGTAGTAAATGTTGATGTAAGACTTAGGTCATATACAGTCCAGTCAGAAAATGGTAAATTTTACCATAGGAACAGAATTCTTTTGAGACCAGTCAAGAGTGAAAAAGATGCAGAGCTCGACGATGAGGACTACTCCATAGATGATAACCAGACGCCTCGATCCTGCGAAGGACAGCAAGGACCAAGCCCGAACGCTTCTCCACGACAACCTCATGATGTGCGCTCGCCTAGCAAGTCACCTTCATCGAAAAGTCCCTTAAAATCAAATTCAGGTTCTTTATCTCAAACAAAACTGTCCCCTCAAAATTCTAGGCTTATCAAAGAACATGATGGACAGTATATGACCAAGTCAGGTAGAGTCGTAAAACCTAGGCAGCTTCTAGACTTGTAAGTAGGCCTATCTTAGTAAAAAAAAAAAAAAAAATAAAAAAAAAAAATAAAAAAAAAATAATAAAATAAAAAATAAATCAGTGCAGCAGCTATATTTAGAAAATTATATAATTTAGAAGAAATTTGTTTTGGTTTTATTATTGTTTAAAAAATAAAGTGGTAATGTAATTATTTTATTTGTAAAGAAGGGAGATGTCATATATGTATGTTCTTATTCTAAGTTGTATTATTATTTAAGTTGAGTTGATACTCTATGTCGAGTCTATATAAGGAAGACCAATTGAATTCTCGATCTCTTTGTTACTTATTGAACTTAATAAAATGGCTGTAACTGAGTTGGGACTATTATTAAAACATCCCATCATTATAATTTATAACCAAAATTAAACTAAATATCCCATCATACAGTCCACTTTATTATTGAAAAAGACTTCTTTAGGATTACGCAACACTTTCGTTTGTATCCCTCCTAGACTATTTTTAGCTGCATCGAATATAATTTTTAATGCGAAAGAGAGCTTGTAGTTCAAAACTGTTTGCGGGTCCTGTTTAACGGCCTTGTGTATTTTGAATTCCTCGATTGTAGTCATGAATGGCCCTTTATTGCATTTATGGAGTACAGTACAGGGTGAGGCAATGAGAGCGCCACTTTTTGTTTAAGATGTCACATGTTAATTGTTGCAAAAACGAATGATCAGCTGTGCTTATGACATCCATTAAACTATGCCATTTTAGTAAATATTAAGCCTGAGGCTATTAACACTGAGAATTTTATGTGGAAACCTATTTTTAAAAAAGTGATTCTTGTGCAAAAACCCTGAGATTGTTTGGACCACATTCCATCCTTGGTCAACATGGTGCTGTTCCCGATTGGAAAACAATGGTAAACTGGGTAAAATTATTTAGGATAAACGCTGAAACCTAAAAAATAATCGGTGGGTGCCGCAAAACTCTTATACAAGCAAATGTTGAAAGAGTGCGAGTCGCAGTAACTCAAAGTCCAAAGGGATTTTCCAGGAAGCTTTTGTTGTTGAAAGCTTTACGTTGGCTCCTTTTTTGGGAGGGGGGGGGGGGTTGTTCTAGTAAGCTACTTGAAGTTCGAGGTTTTTCAAAGTCACCCCATAGATTTGCTTGAACTGAAGCTAAGAATCGTCCAAAAACTAAAGTGAACCTGAAGAAATGCTGGAGGAGTATTTGATGGAGTTGTCCCTTAAAAGGAATGTCAAGTAGGAAAAGGTCGTCACTTGCAGGATTTTGTTCTCAAGAAATGGAAAAATGACTTTGTTAAGTTAAAATGGCAAAAGATAAGCTGTGTTTTGATGTGCTATTTATATCTATAGGGTGAATATTATTGAGTTTGTACAGCTTATAAATTGGGGTGCTTTCATTGCCCCACCCTGTAGAACCCTGGTTAACCGAATTCCGTAAAGTAATAAATTGCTAAAAATATAAGTAAGATGTAATGTAAAATGCTTTAGTAGCTTCAGTTGTATATTTTAAAGTATTTTCTTACCCATTGTAACATTTCTGTAGCTGAAATAAAACACTGTGTTATTAAATTAATTTTTCCTACACACGGTGGTAATACATAGACTATTTTTAGCATATGATAGGTTTAAAAAACAATTGTTTATCCGAAACGGCGCTTCCCCTTTATTTTGGTTAACCAGGGTTCTACTGACTCTACTGTATTTCTAAATTTTAATCGATTTTAGCGTAGCTGAGGTTATTTATTATTAATCAAGTGGTTGGCTTATGCTAGTAAGTTATATAAGTTTGATTTTTGATTCGACTGTTTAGGTAGATGTTACTTAGTTTTTATGTTGAATGACCTTGCAGTCCGTCCTATGTAAAAGATAGGGTAATCGTTAAATTTCAGTTTATATATTCTCGTTTGTTTATTATCATAAGGCTTATCTTTAAGAATGCTGGCTAATTTGTTGGATGTTTTGAAGGAGATACATCCAATATCTCCTTGAGATCTCCTCAAAAACATCCACCAAATTAGCCAGCATTCTTAAAGCCTCAAAAATATCTCGAAGCTTTTCAAAAAATCGACATGCTCGTAAGAATGAATTAAAGGGAATGACGTTCGCCTGGAGATGATCCCGAGAGGATCGAAACTAGTTGACTTTCAAGGTCATAAGGATCACTTGAGAGCAGGTAAATGTACAGTACATTTATTTGATCAGTGATTCGAAGGCTTAACCCATACAAAATCAAGAAAAAATTTAGATGTGGAAAAAAGTCTGTGAGTCAGAGGTAATTATGTGGCAGAACCTAAATACTAAATATCTCTTAGCAAACCATTAAAGACTATGCTTTTGGAACAAAATCTGATAATTTTACTTGAGTTATCATTCTTACGGTCACATATAAGAGGGCTATCCAGTTAGTGACAGACTATTTGGCTGGTGCGGCAGTGGGCGGGGCTAGGACCGCCATCTTGGCGTCAGAGTGTTCCTACACTCAGTACGCAACCAGCCGTGATAGCAAGAGCATCGTGAAGTGACTTCTGTACTTTGTATGCAGTGGAGTTTAGAGATGAGCTCTACAACTGTATATTCCGCCAGTTGTGAAGTGCAAGGTGTGATAAGGTTTTTATTGGCAAAAAATTACAGACCTATTGAAATTTATCGCTAGATTTGTGATGGCCAAGGAATAATGAGTGAAAGCCGAGTGAGGCAGTGGAGCATTGATTTAAAAAATTGCCGAACCAATATTTAAGACAAGGATCGCAGCAGTAGGCATAGTCATGTGACTGATGAATTGGTGGCAAAAATCGATGAAAAAATCTGTGAACATTGTCGTTTTACGGTCACAGAACTCTGAGAACATTTTCCTCAAATTTAACGGGAGTTTAGTCCATGAAATAAATGAAAATGCTTCTTTATTGAGGCGAACTTAGGACCTCATGGTCCTTTCTTACAGTTAACCTCTAAAAAACTAATACTAGCAACAAAAAATACAATAAAGTTTGTAACATAACTAGTAATAAAATGGCATAAATGTATTCATCTTCCCTTTTAATTTATAAATAGTGCTTGATAAATTTTGGTACTACAAATTTTGTGCCAGGTGGGTTGCAAAATTGCTAATAGAAGACAAAAAAAACCGAGTTGCTGCAGCACCGACATGTCTGGAAGAGTATGACAAAAGTAAAAACCATGTTATTAATTGTATCGTAACTGGTGACGAGACTTGGGTAAAGCACGTAACTTTCAAACAAAAAGGCAGTCAATGGAATGGGGTCACACGTATTACCCCAAGAAACCAAAAAAAGCGTTCACAAATGCTATCAGCAAGAAAAATCATGGCTACGGTGTTTTGAGGTGCTCAAGGAGTGATTTTGGTACTTTCTTGAACAAGGCCAAACAATTAACTCAGAGAGGTATTGCAAAACACTCTGAAAATTAAGACATGAAATCCAAAACAAGCGTCGAGGTAAACTGAGAAAAAAGGTTTAGATTTTTCATGACAACGGCCTTCTACACGTGGCCAATCATACCCTACAGTCCGGATTTGGCACCGAGTGACTACTATCTGTTCCCAGCGATGAAGACGTGGTTCGATACGCAACACTATGACACTGACACTGAACTCTATGCCGGTGAAAACCAGTCCTTAAACTTACAGGTGGCAGTTTTATTTTATGAGGACATTGAAAAGCTTGAACCACACTATGATAAATGCCTTAATAAATGGTGATTATGTAGAAAAAAATATTAGCCTAAAAGTTTGGCTTCAAAATTTATTAATAAAAATAGTTTATTTTTCATTTTGTATAGCCGTCTACTAAACGTCTACAAAACGTCTACTACTTTCTGTATAGCCCTCGTATGAAAACAAAAGTTACTAGGAGACCTACAATAATAACTTATTCCCAAAAAACCTATATACCTGAGAGTGTGACCCAAGTCAGGCAGTAAGACACCGTAGTCGCGGGCAATGCTGTGTGTGGGGTCGGCCAGCAGAGGTATCTTGGGGTTGCCAAGGCCACCCTCATTACGCGGGGTGCGCGCCCACGCCAGGTGTGTTAGGTGAGAGTCCACAGAACAAGCCACGATCTCAGTCTGGACAGCTCGGAACTCCAGCACTCGGTCACTCAGTGACAACAGTTCCGTGGGACACACTGCAGAACTGAAAAATCATTAATTTTAATGTAAACAGGTACAGACAAATGTTTGGACAGTAATATTATCTTATTATTAAACTCTTATCATCAAACCGAAACCATAGTTAACAAAAATCTACAAATAAGCAAACAGCAAGGCAACAGGGAATCGTACACAATGGCACAGATAGTTGGCGCGGCTTGGCCAATGAAATCTAATTGAACAGGCAAAGACATTTAACACAACGAGGCATGATAAAGTTCATACCGTAACAAAGATTCAGAGAGTTTCAATTCTTCAGGTAGTGTTGATCTATGAAAAATTCCCTTTATTTGAGTAAAGTCTCTCCAGTAGACATCTGGTAAGTGGTGTCTTGAGAATCTTGATGGGCTCCTTTCTAAAGTGGTCTGGAAGATAAATTAAGCATAGGGCTCCTTTTTAGGGTGTTTTTTTTTTTTACCATACGGGCTGTTATAAAATGGTGGAAGCGTAAAAGTTTGTAGGGTTGCATGTGTTGTGTTGATGGAGGTCTTTGTGTTTGGTGTGCTGGGTATAAACTGTATGATGTGTGTGATGTGTGTAACAACTGTGAGTATTTTAAGGTCTTGCAGTTGTCCTGGTAGATGCGTCTGCTATAAAATCTGATTTATAAGGGTCTTATTCTGGTGTATAGGGGTAATTCAAAGTTTGTGTTAGGGGTACTGTCGCACAGCAATGCAGTACCGAAGATGTGATTGCAACAGTGCCAAGTAAGAGGTGTTTCCTGTCTCTAAGTTCCTTGACTACTGAGTTTGTCTAATAATAACATAGGTGGCGGAACTAAGCTTCTTGCCCAGAAGGTCAATGTGATGTTTCCAGAAGAACAGAGTCAAAACAGTAACTCCGAGGTATATTTGGTTAGGCTTGGTTAGTTTAGAACAGTTTCAAATGATAATCAACACTTATTTTTTCCCATACAGGTTTAAGAGTTCCTAAGAGGCACATGTTTAAATTTAAAGCACAATTCTTTCCTATTGAAACCAGGAATTTGTGGTACAGTGACCTGTTGCTGCATTGCTATTGGTTGTAGTAAAACAGGTGATGTAAACATGCAGCATTCTTATTAGCTGGTAGTTTCTTTATTAGTTCTTTATTTAGAACTGTCTCCTTTTTAAGTTCAAAGTGAAATAGTGACAATGGCGGACCTAGCTCAAGTTGATAAAGAAATTTGTGATTTACGTTTATACTGATTGTGTCGGGAAGTCGTGTTAGGACATTGTATCATTCCTTGTAGGAAACGATGTCAGGGCACGGTGGTGATTGATGTGTTCGTTGGACCAAGATAAACAGGAAACTTTTGTTTTGTTGTAGGCTAGTTGCTAGGTCGCAATCAGCAAACCAAAGAAGACACGGTGCTGTCCGTGCGTGCCGGTTTTGGTTATTTTTGAGACAGCAGAAAGTGAATACTGTTATTGTTGTTTAAAGATTTTATTGCAGAGTTTGTTATTGCTGGAGTGTGTTATTGTGTAAAAATGATGTTTATTGAGGTTTTGGAGGAACTGTGCTTAGGGTCGGTTTTATTGAATTCCAGTCAATTTTTGTTACCGATATTGCTCTACCCCCTCTTATAATCCCCCAAAACTTCATTTTAGGCCTATACACTTTTTTACACAATTTCACACTTCGGGAAGTGCATTTAGGCTGATGTCAGGGTCCTAAATTTTCCTAAAAAGATACAAGTTTAAAAAGACTAATTTTGAACCAAACAAAGAACTAAAAGTTATATTTTAATTCGTAAACCACTTACAAATCTTGTGGGTAGAAGAACAAAATAAGATATCTGCCTTTGTAGTCATTGAGTTCCAATCGAGTAACATGACCATTTACAATGGCAGTAGCTTTCCACGGAGGAGCTGGCTTGGTCACTAAAAAAACATATCAACAAAATTAGCTCAACACGTCCATAAGTTACTACACTGTTGTAATTGTATTTATACTTAAATTAAAACCCTAATCTATTAAAAAAGGATACAGATTATTATTAAATAGGGATAGTCGGGTCCCAACATTTCGGGAAATTTTCGGGAAAAAAATATTCCCGATATTCGGGACGGGATTAAATTTAATTCGGGAATTTTTCGGGACGGGATTTGGCCCGATCGTCGGTGATTTTGCCGCTTTGCACCCGACGATAACGCCGCTATCGCGAGAGATGTTCCGCGAACGCAGGAGGCGAAGTCATTTTGACGATCGCGCCGTGACCACGGAGTCATACCGACGATCCCGCCCAAACCGCGAGTCATACCGACGACCCGACCGGGACGTGACCGCGGATTCATACCGACGATCACCCCGTGACCGCGAAGTCATACCGACGATCGCGACGTGACCGCGGAGTCATACCGACGATCCCGCCGATACCACGAGTCATACCGACGATCGCGCCGTGCCCGCGAAGTCATACCGACGATCGCGCCGTGGCCGCGGAGTCATAACGACGATCACGCCGTGACCGCGAGTCATACCGACGATCACCCCGTCACCGCGGAGTCATACCGACGATCGTCCCGTGACCGCAGTCATACCGACGATCATGCCGTGATCACGAGTCATACCAACGATCGCGCCGTGACCACGGAGTCATACCGAGGATCGCGCCGTGGCCGCGGAGTCATACTGACGATTGCGCCGTGACCCCGGAGTCGTACCGACGATCACGCCGTGACCACGAGTCATACTGACGATCACCCCGTGACCGCGGAGTCATACCGACGATCACCCTGTGACTGCTGGGTCATACCGACGACCGTCCTGTGACCGCAGAGTCATACCGACGATCACCCCGTGACCGCAGAGTCATACCGACGATCATCCCGTGACCGCCGGGTCATACCGACGACCGTCCTGTGACCGCAGAGTCATACCGACGATCACCCCGTGACCGCGGAGTCATACCGACGATCACCCCGTGACCGCTGGGTCATACCAACGACCGTCCTGTGATCGCGAGTCATACCGACGATCACCCCGTGACCGCGGAGTCATACCGACGATCACCCCGTCACCGCGGAGTCATACCGACGATCGTCCCGTGACCGCAGTCATACCGACGATCATGCCGTGATCACGAGTCATACCAACGATCGCGCGGTGACCGCGGAGTCATACCGACGATCGCGCCGAGGCCGCGGAGTCATACTGACGATTGCGCCGTGACCCCGGAGTCGTACCGACGATCACGCCGTGACCACGAGTCATACCGACGATCACCCCGTGACCGCGGAGTCATACCGACGATCACCCTGTGACTGCTGGGTCATACCGACGACCGTCCTGTGACCGCAGAGTCATACTGACGATCACCCCGTGACCGCAGAGTCATACCGACGACCGTCCCGTGACCGCAGAGTCATACCGACGATCACCCCGTGACCGCTGGGTCATACCGACGACCGTCCTGTGACCGCAGAGTCATACCGACGATCACCCCGTGACCGCGGAGTCATACCGACGATCACCCCGTGACCGCTGGGTCATACCGACGACCGTCCTGTGACCGCAGAGTCATACTGACGACGTCCCGTGACCGCAGTCATACCGACGATCGTGCTGTGACCGCGGAGTCATACCGATGATCGTGCCGTGACCGCGGAGTCATACCGTCGATCATGCCGTGATCGCGAGTCTTAATGACGATCACCCAGTGACCACGGAGTCATACCGACGATCACCCCGTGACCGCGGTAATTTTGACGATCGCACCGTGACCGCGAGTCACAAGTTTCTATATGTACCTGTAAATTGTTGCAACCAAACCATTTTTTTGTTTTTATAGATCAGTGCCAAAAACGTTAAAAATTGATTTCGTTTGTCTTTTTGGTAACTGCAATACTCAAGACTTTCTTTTTATCCACAGGAAAAAAATCCCGTCCCGTCTCGTCCCGAAAATCAAGAAGGAAATAAAAATCCAGTCCCGTCCCGTTCCGAACTAAAAATTCAATCCCGTCCATCCCTATTATTAAATGAGAAAAAAATCATCCAAAATGTACTTAGGTACTTTTAGTTGTTAAAATAAAGTACAAAAAGCAACTTAGTAGCTTAAGAGGGTTTTATAAAAATAGTTTCACCAAGGTTTTTGGCGACCGTAGGTTTCATGGAAAGACCTAGACCCGGGACCGGTTTACTTTTTCGTTTTGAGGTCTCCAGAGGCCAAAAACACCCTCCGTTCAAATTTATATATATATATATATATATATAGTAGGCCTATATGTGTTAGTTAGTGCGATAACCCCGATAACTCAAGGAAAAATTATCCAATTTTGATAACATTTGGTACAAACGTGTAAACCTACATTTATTCTAACGAGTTCGCGAACCAGCATGATCGGACAATGAGAACGGGGGTTTATGGGGGGTTTTGTGGGGTAAAAATTGGGTTTTCCCATTTTTGACCCCAAAACACAAAGTATCACAATTTCTTTCTAGAAACCATTTTGTAGAGATTAAAAAAAGAAATAATTTTGTATATTGAAGCGTAGTTGAATGCCTAACGGTTACGAAGATATTACAAAAATTGTAAGTAAATGAAAATTCTCATGTTATTTTTATGGAGAACTAGCAGAGTACCCGTCCTTCGTATGGGGTTGGCATCTATCTATCTATACTATTCTAAAGAAGAGGTGGTTTCTGTGTGTGTATGAGATAATCTCAAAAACTACTGAACCGACTGGGCTCAAATTGCACAAAAAAGAAGCTACAGCTCTGAGGATACATATAGAACTGTTCCCGCTTCGATACTGTCCTAGGGCTCTGCCCCGTGGGCTTTCAAAAATTTGAGGTGAGAGATTTAAATGTAAATATTGATTGATGGTATCCATGGTAACAAAGAACAAACCTACAAAGTTTAAAAATGTAAACAAGCAGAACTAACTGTCAAATGAATTTTGATTTCACAATTCCACACAGCTGGTTCAAATATATTAAATACTGCATGAATATTAGAACAGATAGGGTAAGGATTATAAATTTAAAATAATGATGTCACTAGCTCGAATGTTAACATTATTTAACATTACTTAAATGGAGCTGTCAAACCATATGTTAATGTCATTTCATTAGTATATGATTCTTTCAGTTACTTAATTTGTTTATGTTTATGATCTATTATACTGAGTGTGTTCTAATATTTGTGAAATGCTGTAATAGCTATTTACCTTACAAGTGTAGTAAGAGCGTTTTTACATCACGCAGGTGAAGGTTGTGCAACGAGCGGAAGCGAGTTGCATAATTTACCTAAGTGATGTAAACACGCTCTTGCGTAACGTGTAACGTACAATATTTTACCTGACCCGACAATATACAGGAGGTTACGAACAATATTAATCATTATCCATTTCACTCATCTTTTAACAGTAACGTTAATTTACAAACAAAAGCTAGGTTAGGAAAATTCTTCAAAACGTAACAATAAAATTCAAGAGCACAGCTGATTTCTAGCGTTGAACGTCGTTGGCTCCATAGAGGTATATTTTTTAAGTTAATCACTCAATGTTATTTAAATGGGTTTCATTACATCACCGAGTGAGTTTTTGATACTTTACATCACTCGAGAAGTAAGGAAGTTGTATACATCACGCTTGGGATAGGGAAGTTTAACATGGCGGGTTAGGTAATAATATTTTACCTAACCCGCCATGTTAAACTTCCCTATCCCAAGCGTGATGTATACAACTTCCTTACTTCTCGAGTGATGTAAAGTTGGAAAAAACTCACTCGGTGATGTAATGAAACCCAATTAAATAACATTGAGTGGATAACTTAAAAAATATACCTCTATGGAGCCAACGACGTTCAACTCTAGAAATTAGCTGTGTGTTTGAATTTTATTGTTATGCTTTGAAGAATTTTCCTAACCTAGCTTTTGTTTGTAAATGAACGTTACTGTTAGAAGATAAGTGAAATTGATAATGAAGCAATGAACGTTACTGTTAGAAGATGAGTGAAATTGATAATGAAGCATATTGCTCGTAACCTCCTGTCGGGTCAGGTAAAATCTTGTACGTTACACGTTACGCAAGAGCGTGTTTACATCACTTCGGTGAATTATGCAACTCGCCTTCGCTCGTTGCACAACATTCACCTGCGTGATGTAAAAACGCTCTTACTACACTTGTAATGTAAATAGCTATTACATGGAATAATTTGTTGTAAAAAAAATCATTTTATGGATATAGGAACTAATTAAGATTCTATAATCATTGCCGTATCAACCTAAGCCCTTATCCTGAATTTTATGAGGTTTATTTTTGTGTGTAAACAGTAATATAATCCCCCTGCCGCAGCAAATCTATAGACTGAGCGAATTTCAATTTGACTGATTATAATTTCACTAAAATATGTTAGAAAATGACCCTATTTTCCATATTTATTTCTATTTTCCTAGTTTTCGGTTTGGAACTATTGTGATAGCTTTTTTGTTTACAGTGTAAACCATAAAAACATTCTTTTATCATACCTTAGAATCTATCATTGGTTTTGTATCGTAGGTAGCCTAAATAAGTATTCACAGTATGAGTAAAAAAAACGTACTATTATCAAATTAAGTAAAACAGTTAAATTTTGTTTCTAAATTAAATGGTAGGAGTGAAACCATTTGGCATTTTCAAAGAACCAACATTGTCTCTTTTGCATACTGACACCGTTGCAATGCAAGGGCATAGCTGCTAGCAAATACGAATAGTATCCGCTAGCAAAAATAACAAGCGGCCAGCGCTACTAACTGTGACCAACGGGATTGATTTATTTAGTAGGCTATCTTATATAAATTAGAGTTAATCATGTACTATAACAAAGTCTTCTTTCTACATCAATTACAATTCCATAATACCCTCACTGCAGCAAACCTGCAGCCAAAACAAATTTCCATTTGTGTGAATTTATTTTCAATTAAATCTATTTCAACAACATTATGTTTAACGAGTACCTAGTTTTGCTGCCTACAGGGAGGGTACTAACGAAGTGTGATTTTTAGGAAAATATTAGTAGCTTAGTATGAAATAAATAAATTTACCAAGTTTAATAAAAAATCCATCCATTAAAAAGCAATATTACAACAGTTTACTTATCATACTAATATTATAATTTAGAAAGTTTGGATGTTTGGATGTATCGATGTATGGATGAATGGATGCATGGATGGATCGATGGATGAATGGATGGATGGCTGGATGGATGTTTGTGACAAGTAAACGCGAAAAATACTACACCGACAAGGTTGAAATTTGGTATGATGATAGCTGACATTCCCGATTAACATATAGACATATTCATACCTCAAAAATCCTTTCAGGCTCCGCCTCAGTGGCTCTGGAGTTTCTCATATTAACCATATGAGTATTCATATTTAAAGATTAATATCATAATCATAAATTTTAATATCATAATATCATAAGATCATAATTTTGTCAGCTGTTTCAACTGCACAAGTTGGTTCTATGATACTAGACCTCAAACGTCAAAATCGGGCGAATAATAACGGAGGAGTTCGATTAACAAAAAACGGCTTAGCCTATTATATATATAGATGCCAACCCCGTACAAAGGACGGGTACACTGCTAGTATAAGTATAAAATGCTTATTGCAGTTATACTCAAGCTTCGCATTTTCAATGGAGTGGACACAGTTTGATAAAATTTGCTTCTTTAAGTCAACGGTATACTATAGTATTACACATCTACCATAACCATTATGTTCTACCCCTTCACCTTTAAACAATAAAGAAAAATTATTTATTAAAAATTCGCAAAATATCACAAATTGTTCATGTAATTAAAAACATAAACAACTGTAAACAATCCTACTTTGACAGTTCTCATTGCGTATCACAGCTTTTTGTTGCTGCTTAGTTCAAATTAGCTGTTTTCATAAATACAAAGAAAAAAATAATAGTGCTGCACTCTGTTGGTAAATCTTATAACTTTTTAATACTTTTGCATATCATAGAACCAACTTTTTTTAGTTGAAACAGCTGACAAAATACTTTAATTCCCTTTAAATATGAAAACTACATGAGGAACTACAGAGCCACTGGGGCGGAGCCCGAAAGGATTTTTGAGATAAGAATATGCCTATATGTTAATCGGGAATGTGAGCTATCATCATCCCAAATTTCAGCCCAATCCCTCCAGTAGTTAATGCGTGATTGAACTCCAAACACACAAACAAACAAACAAACAAACACACAAACTTCCACATTTATAATATTAGTAAGAGTTATTTACATAGGAAATACATCTGAACATTTTAGGGGAATATTTTAGTAGAAATCCAGCCAGGTAAATGGAAATTTGCTTCGTCTGCAGGTTTGCTGCGGCGGGGGTGTATTTATGCATAGCCTAGGTATAGAAGTTAAAGAACTTAAAACAAATTTCAACTGAGTGTCTACCAGGGAGAGTATTCTAAATAGTGTAGGGCCGCACCTACACACAAAAAATAAGTAAAAAATACTCGGGACTCATCAGAATTATTCCTATGTGTGAAGCACATTGCTTAACAAAATATCTACTCGTACACTCATCCTTTAATACATCTGAAATATATGCCATTAAATGCTAACTACGTGAACAGGGACTATCTGTTGTTTTAACACTGTAAATTATCTAAGCCTCTAAGTCTAACTTTAGACATTTATTATTATCAGCATGCAACCTCTCTCTATTCGACTGCGATGCTGTGGTGTCGCACACTCACCTATAGCTTTGCTGGTGTAGGACGGAGGCTCGGCTACAGGCCTTCTCCCGGACATGGCTGACAGTTGCTGTCCTTCCGAATGTTCTGTATAGTTCCCTTCTGCACTCAACTGCTCCTGGAGATGATCTATTGTACAAAACCCAAGTACAGTCATTTACTTTGTTATATATAATACAATATTAGCTAAATAAAATTGTGCTTATATACATTATTTTAAAAAATATAATAACCACACTGTTTGGTGGTTTTGAGCATGGGCAGACCACATACTAATCAGCTTTTGCTTGGAAAATAATATTTGGTTCTCTTTTAAATTGTAAGTCGGGTGGATGTGTCTGGATTATTGGCCTGTGTTTGTCTTATTGAGGCAGTATGTGATATTATATATTATATTGTAATTAAATTGTGTCTCATTAAGGAGTAGAGTAATATTTCAAAAGGATATTATATCATATCTTCAATACTTTACTATTTTTTTTTATCCTGAAAAACCACATTTAAATAGGCCAAAACCGTTTTATAGCCCAACACATTTTAAATTTCTTCATGGGCCTAAGTCAATTTCTGATTAGGCCTATGTTTTGGTCCCATAAGAGCAAGGTGCCTGTAGAAGATTCACCCATGAATTCTGATTGATTTGAAATAATTTTGTATGTTATTGAGAGGAATAAATGGTAATAAAATGTTTTAATATTGATATTTAGTATAATTCGCTCTTAGCTTTTTTCCAAATGTTTAGATTCTAAAACAATTTTGAACTCTATTATTGCTATCCGATGAGAGCTATTTAAAATGAATATAATTGTTCAATTATAGCCTATGCATTTGAATTTAAAACTCCTGAATTTTATAGGCTACTTTCGTTTTACTCCATATTAGTTAGATATATATTTCAATTTAACTGAATTTGTAGGGCAATTCATTGTTTTTTTAAACACTTAAACAAAATAACTAAAAATATGTAAAATAGGTTTTGGTACTTAAACATAATGATAAAAGACCCAGACTCCCTTAGAGGCTTTCTCAACTATGTAAGGCAAACTAATTGTTCAGTTAAAATATCCCCTCAAAATATTTTGGTAGCATACACCCACAATGATGTATTTGAAAGTAAAGCGGAAAATGTGAACAAGGTTATGGTTGCGAAAGTACTCCAAAGAATCTGAGTCTTATGAATGACTTGAATTTTCAGCCAACCTGATATGGACAAACAGTCAAAGTCAATGTCCTCAGCAACTTCTTTGGCTTTCTGTTCTTCGTTTGCAGATTTCCTTTGAAACAATGATCTGGAGGGGGGGTCACTTGATCGCCCACTTCCCACCCCACTTAATGCTTCCAACGTTTTTATTCCCTGACGGAACTCTTCAGAGTTATTTAAATGTTTTATCGCTTGAGAGTGAGATTGAAGCACACTAATATCAGCAACCAGAACCTTGCTGCACACTTTGCACCTCGCTTTATAACAGTTATTTTCAACCTCTTCCAACCAAAAGCTAAACTCCGGGAAATGTTCCCAAGCTTTTCTATACTTTTGCTGTTTTCTTGATTTACGCTTTTTAGGAGGGGTGGCTATAGATTGGGTTGAACTTTCATTTCCGGTATCATCTTGACTCACAGAATTAGCACTTTTCAAAACAAGTAAATCTGAATCAACATCATTCACTCCAACATGTTCTGCCATGTCTCAGTTACTTTTAGGTGGAGTTATGTAAGTAAGGTACAAATACCTGGAGAACAAACAAAGTTTAAAACAATTTGATTGAACAAATAAAACTAAGCCACATTTTAGCTTTTAAAACATAAAAATTATCAACCTAAAAGTGCAATCAATTGAAGATTACACTTTGAAATCTTAAGAGCCTCTAAGAGAACCCGGCCCTTGAGTTGGATTTATCATTTAACCATACACACCGTTGTGCCGTTGTAGAAAAGAGCTGTGAAGTCCATTATCAACATCGGTTACATTGGATTCCACAAGAATCACATTGGGTGTGTTGTTATCGACCTCATATTCGTATCTTTGCTGCTGCTTTAATTCAATTACTTTCTTCTGATGTTTAATAGAGGTTGCATGTTTTTCCAGTTCACTTTTTCCTGCATTCAATACTATGTTGCATGCTGTACACATGGCTCTTTCAGGATTAGGATGAGCTCGTAGCCATCCTTTGAACATATCAAAGGAAAGCCATTCGGCTCGGAACCTCTTTCCTCCTTTGCCTCCTCTCTTTTTTTTGTTTGGTGTTTCATATTCTAAAGTTTGAGACTCATCGGCTACATTAGTTTCGTCTAACAATCGTGAGGGTTCCCCTTCTGTGGCTGGTGTTATGACAATGGTACCAGTTTCATTTATGGTACGTTTGGGAGCAACGGCTGAGGGTTGATTGCTACTATAATAAAAAAGAACACTATTGACATACTAATAGCATAATATGGAAGAATGTGTGAAAGCTTAGTGCAAACTTATTTTGAAACACACTTTAAAAAAGCTAGGACTAATACTTGCGGCAGCAAAGCAGGCCAGTAGCCTTGTTTAAAATGTTTTTGACAAATTTTTGAACCAATTTCAAATAATAGAAGTTAAAAATACAAGCATTTTGATAGTTAGTTACACAAACTGGTACCTACATATTACAAAAGCAATGTTAAGGTTGCCTAATATGTGCGTATGACACATCACACCAACATAGATGGTGCTGCTTTTAAGGCACACAGTAGCCACCAGTCAAACATGATTTTTTTTACATTCCGTTTTTTTGTACATTCCGTGCAATGAAGTACTTACCGTGCTTTTTTAATTTTTAATTTTAAATCAACTAGAATGATTGAAATGCCCAGTGAGCAAATACTGTAAGCAGGCTGTGACAATACCTATAAAAACTTGTGAATTATCTGGTGACAGGCCTAAAATACTTTGTTATAGATTCCCTAAGGACAAAGAACTATGCAAACAATAGGCCTATAGCTGCAAACGGGCAGACAAATAATTCAAGTTCCAAGTGAGATTGCAAAATTATTATTTGCATTTGTAATATAACTTAGCCTATATTAAATTCTTTAATTTTATCGCCTCATAAGTCATAATCAATAGGCCTATCGTAAGGTAGATTCATTGTAAATATAGTAGAATTTATATATAATTTCTATGTACGCTGAAATTGTTTGTAAAAATATATTAGGCTAGCCAAAATAGTTATATTCAATGATTAATCTTGCTGTTTCTCATGCCAACAGCAATAGAGGGAGTAAAGCGATCAGGTCAGCGAATAACGTGACAGTTCCGCAGCCGGTTAGCTGTTTTATATAAGAGTCAGCGTCAAAACCTTTTCATGCCCTCGTATTTTCCAGATTTCTCTATAGGTAGACAGCTGGAAATGCACCCACCGGCTTAAGAACCTCTTGGGGCCAAATTTAACAGTTCATTTTATATGTTAAATCAGTAGGCCTACTTTCCTGTTCAAAGGAACATTCATTATTATCGATGATTTTTATCGATATATTGATATTTTTGTTTTTCTTTACGATCCATATTCCTTCTGTTATAATATCTTCAAACACATTTAAATTACAAATTGACAACTGATCTTGTATAATCAAAAGCAATATACCTATGGATGAAGAAATGAAACCGTTCTAAACTAACCTAACATAACTAACCAAACTTGCTGTACCATTTCAAAATTTCGTTTGATAACAGAAAAGTCATTAGTGGCATAACAAACAGAATTTTGAAATGTTACAGCAAGTTTGTTTGGTTAGGTAAGGTTAGTTTAGAACAGTTTCATTTCAATCCTAATATTTTTATGATTGTTTGTTGATACTGAACAATATTTATTTATCATAATTGCATAGAGCGGGTTCTAGACATTTTTCTAGTGTAAGCGAACATCATTCAGGCATAGTGACATACTTTTAAAAAACTTAAATGTTAAACTTGGTAGTAAGGATTATCTCTGGATACATCTCAAAATACGAATGAATAAGTGCTTAAGAAAGTCTGAAATGTTCGAACGTCTGCTGGACGAGTCCAGTAGAGGGGTGCCCAACAAACAAATCCACTTGTTTTTGTATGTGGTCATTGTTATTTGGGAATAACAATAATAAATTAAGAACATAGTGAGAGTATGGGCATTAGGCCCACCTTCTCACGATTTACCCTAAATCCTTACTCCTATAGTCCTACAATTTGGCAAGTTATAAACTTTTTACTTTGAGTAGGAAATATAGGCCTATAACATTATTTTTAACGAGTAATAGCTAATAGCCTAGATAAGATAAACCATTCTCCCCTTGTGTTGGTTTGTCTGAAAGACAAACTCTGGTTCAACCAAAATGTTTACGTTAACGATAGCTTTATAATTATGTAAAATATGACATATATTTGTGAGACAACTGTGAGATTTGATCTACTAAACCTCTGTTTTGGGTACATCCTGAATTAAAAAAAATTCAAATACCTACTTGTAAGTTATTATCAAGGAAATTGATAGGAAAGCAGGCTCCATAGAGACACATAAATACACAACACAACCTCGTGGCACTAACATTTAACGTAAATGCGCCAGTGCTGGGTGCTACCTCAAGTTGTATTATAGCTCATTGCGGGTAAAGCTTGACAGAACCTCTGAGATGTAGGTTTTCTCTATCAGCCACAAGTGTCGCCCTCGATAGCATTGGGGTTTCGCTTCTTATAGTGTTACATATTGAATGTTTCTAGTCTCTATCTCCCTTCGCAACCGTGTACCTTGCCTACCGCTTAAACCGGCTCTGCGTAGTTGTCGGGTGATATGTTTCAATTTGATAATATCGATATATCGGTTCAAAAAATAAAATATCGTTGTAGACTATGGAAAAAAATTCATCAATAATAACGAAAGTTCCCTTTAACGGGAAAGTACCTACTATTAAATCTTATTCGTAATCATCCACAGTAAACGCTTGAAAAAACAGAAGTAAGCAGATTAAATTATTAGTCTGCCCATTTGCAGTTAGTGGGGGGGAGGGGGGGGGGGGTAGTGTTTGCATAAGTTAGTTCTTCATCCTTTAGGGAATCTATGATATTCTTTAATACTTACTTAGAACAGAATAGAATAGAATAGAATGTTTGTTTATTTTCTCTTTCAGATCGGATACATATAATCATTGACTTTATATCTACACACTGTGTAGATATAAAGTCAATGATATAATACACAGGTCACAATTATTGCATAATAAATTCACATTAATAAAAAGATACAAAACAAATGAAGTTCATTACGACTATAAAGGTTTTAAATAATTATGCTATTTTACTTACCTACTTACTATACTTAAATACTTTCATATGAAACTATTTTAGGCCTGTCACAAGATAATATTCTACAAATTTTTATCCAACAATTGTTACAGAAAGCTACAGCACATTTTTGACAGGCAGATTTTAATTACTTTAATCGGTAGTAGAGGTGTGCAAAACAGATCCAGGATGAGAACCGTTCTCGGTGACCTTCTTCTCGAATAGACCCATAACAGGTTAATGAAACATAGCGTATTTATATCAGATTTTATTTATGGAAATTATCCCCAATGTCTACACTGGGAAACTTAGATGTAATTTTTAAACGTTTTTATAAGCTCGCTTTCTTGTCTGTTCGGTACAAATTTTGCGATCAATTTTTTTAAAACTAACTTCCCGATGAGCTATAGACTTGAAACATAGCTCACAAATTAATGACAATGCAATATTAAATCATTCAATTTCCATATTATGAAGGGTGTACTAACTATGGGCTACACCCCATGTGCGCTCAAAGTTTCAATGTTTACATTTTTGAAGAATGTATCGATTGGAGTAAGATGCTGTTAATTTTGAAACTAAACTTAAATTCATGACAGTTTGTTCAAAGACCAGAGGTTTCTAAGTTTAATGATTATGAGAATATAAGCAACAAAATCTGATTACAGTTAATAGGGTTGGTTTTTATTCACAGGCCATATAAAATAGATTTAATATATTTACACATTCAAGACTAAATACCCCTGCGGCAGCAAACCTACAGGCTTAGCGAATTTCCATTTGCCTGATTGGATTTACACTAAAATGTCTCCTTAAAAATATCACATTTATTCCCTATTTAAACAGAACGAGAGGTCGTCCAGTGGTCGAAACTCGACCAAAAATATGTAATGTACTCACTTAACTATTTTCACCCCACACTGTAAATAAAACATGTGATTGGAGTTTCCTCCATTTGTTTTGATTTTCTGTTTATATTTCGTTGTTATTTCGTAACCAGCATAGCAACGCATAAGATCCATGTTATTTTTTTACAACTTTTAAACTTATTTTTTGTGCTTATCTTTGAGCCTATTTAAATTTATAAAGGGATTCTGCACACCTACAGGAAAATAGCTTTCCAACGGTATGCGTAGATTTTCCCTACGATGCACACGAGCTGAGAAAAAAGGTTTTAAAGAAACATGCTTGCCTATTAATATATAGATACAGTTTTCTGTACCAACTAGGTTGAAGCACAATTTGCCCTATGCATAATGACACTATAGGACGATTATTACCTTATTACCATGTCTTCATCTTTTACCCAATAAGGGATTGATGGCGTCAGAATTTCAATATATACAAAAATACATAATAACAAACTGAATTTGAGTAGATACAAACATATACATATATTTACAATTGCGATGTTGTTATAGAAGACAATAACACTTAATGTCTTCTAAGTGTTATTCATAGAACAAGTAACTTATCACTATGGTTAAAAGTTATAGCAATGTCATTTTTAACATTAAAAGTAAAGAAAGGCAATAAACTCCAATTTCAGTAGGCTAGGCTCTGTAACACAAAAAAGTATTTTTAAATAATCGTTTTACAGTTTTATTGATCTTAATTGTTGATATAAGACATCTATAAATGAATCTATATTAAAGAAATAAAATGAGCTTTTAAAATATAGTTTGGTTGTATGACCTTTGAACTTAATGAAATTTACATATAAGATGCTTAAAAATAATGCAATATTTAAAAATAAGTACTAAGTTTAAATATGATGGGACACCCAAATATTTAGTTCTGTTGTTGTAATGTTAGTTTTATAATGCCAACAAATTAATTACAATCTAGGAATAATTTGTTTTCCAAGTAACGTTAGATACAATACTGACATTTTTTGTTTAAAAGTTTGTTCAATAAAAATGTAGTTGCAATTAATTTTACATTTACCTAATGTGCGTGATATAAAAAGTAACGTCTTTGGAAAAGTAGCTAAAATTGTAGCTGTAGCTACATTTCATTGTAGCTGTAGTTGTAGCTAGCTACTTTTTCGGACCTGTAGCTGTAGCTGTAGCTAAGCTACTTTTTTGGAAATGTAGCAGTAGTTGTAGCTAG